CAGCGACTATTATTTGTTTGGATAGTTGGATATATGAAAGAGGACTTACGTGGACGGCGGTTTAATGACGAAGTTGAGTTAAAAGAGGCTGTTTTAGCTCATTTTGCAGACAAACCAAAAGAATATTTTTTTAAAGGGATTGAGAGATGTAATAAGTGTATTGAAGTTAAGGGGGATTATATTGAAAAATAATAAAAAATTGTTACTCTACTTTGTTTCTTTCATATTCAGGCCGGGAAATTTTGGCGCTGCCCTCGTACATAAATGGTTAGATAGTCTACAATAATAATAGGTATAGGAACGTAATATATAACACATAAAGAAAAGAAAAAAAGGAAGATACCGAACACAATCAAAAAGTGGAAACCATCAAGAATAGGGTAATCCGGTAACCTATCTTCTGTTCCTCTGCAGAGTAAAAAAAATGTTTAAAAAAAAAATTATTTTGGTTTTAAAATTTTTAAATAGCAAGTTTGTGACTTTATTTGGAATTAAATTGTATAAACTTAGATCAACAGAGTTTTTCAAGCTTTTAGTGTATTTAAACTTCCTAGTCCGAAGCAAATTTGAGGACGAAGTGGGGTATTTATGATTATCTGACTGAACCGAAAACATATTTTTTGAGTTATGGATTTCTAATCCGTGTGATACATGTTCTGGTAGAGAGATAAGAGGATAATACTGGGCTCCAAACTATAAAATTCCAATTTTCCATTAAAATTGACTGATACAGTCAAAGGCTTTTATTTATCAAATTGTTTGACTCAAAATAATAGATTATAGATTGGCACAACTTTAGACACTTTAAAAACCTCCTATTGCATTGCAGCATTCTTTAATAATCCTACTGTACAAACAATAAAAGCCTAAAGCTTTTGAATTATTCAAAGACATTATGACCTGCTCGACTCAACTGAAGAAACCAGGAAAAGTTTGAAAGAGCATTTAGGTTTAATCAAGTTTTGCATCAACTCAGATGGCCTAGCAGGAGTTTCGTCCAAAGTGTCTAATATTTTACGCACCACAGTAGTAGTATGCAGTATGAATAAATCTTTCGTTAAATTACATTTACCTGTGCTACACCTCTCGATGTTAATTAATTGCCAAGAATCTTTGCTCTTTTTTTGGATAAATGTAAATAGTTCGTATAAGCCAGTTATCTTGTATTTTTATTTCATTTTGATACTCCCTTTTGTATTTTGTAATTGCATTTTTTGTAATTTCCGCTATACTACTGAGACTGTCGTTGAATTGGAGATTAAGGAAAACACAGCAACGTCTGTTCCCAAATGTTCTTCACCAAGGCAAATTCAAAATCATTAACTTTGGTGCCAATTGTATTATAATTTAATGTAATTGATGATTGACGATACCTATTAAATTTTTCATATTTTTTTCTAGACTACTTTCGACACTCTATTTTATTATTCGACAATTGCAAATTATGATTATTAGACTCAATTTGAATAGCAATGGATTTTTAATTTGACATTATCATAAAAATGTCCTATTAAATATTATAACAACTCCAAAACTCAGAAAGTTTCCTAACTATAAAAACTGTTATGAAAGGTAAAATTTCCTACAAACCTCTTATGAATATTCATTACCTAATATAGAAGCTTAAGCTTCGAAAAATATTAGTTTGAAAGTCTGTTGGTCCATTTGAGATGCTTCCTAAATAAGTCGCAAGGTAATATAGCAGTTGTATTGTAAGAATATGTCTGCAGTCGAGATATGCACAGGAAATGGCCAAAATATTGGTCGGTTTTCTTAGAATGAATAATATGCGTTGGTCGTGTTGCAATTTAAGAATATCCTGTTCGTCATCGGGTTGTAGATGTGGTTTTATGAATGGACGATGACGCCGGTTAATCGAAACCCGAAAAAGGATTACGTGCGTGCCAAGGATAACACAGTTAATTCATATCTGAAAGCACGTATGCGCTTGATCAGCATTAATATAATAGTCATCTTGCTTTATGCCATTTGCACAATTTGGATACGTTAATTAACTAACAATAAAAATTAAATTTTCAACAAACATACACAATGCTCAGATAACATATAAAAATGTGTTACTTCATATAAACAAGTGGTCTGAAATGCTCCATTTCAAGTGTCAAAAACTTTAGTTATATTTTGTTTTTTTTTTCCTCCATAAGATCCTAAATAATAACAATTTCTCTGTACTCATTTTCAAAGCTTAATGGATTTTTCTGACACGCCCACAAAATGAATTACTCATTCATTCATAAAAATAACAATAAATGTCCAACTCCAAAAACAAAAATAAAATTTGGGCAAAAATATTTAAAAAATCGCTTATCAGATACCACCCTGTAAACCTATACATAAACACTTATACCTCGGTCATTTTTTATGACAGATACCAACAACTATACATTAATGAAAATGGTTAATAAAAAGTGCATTTTTTTAACAACCCCAATATACATGATTGCCATATAAAATAAGAATTGTATGCAGTGTGGGAAAAATTTGAGCACTCCACACTGCACACTTAATTTGTTAAAATAATTATTAAGAAAACTGGGAAAACATGAAATCTCCTTTGAAAACAACTGATGAATAATAATGAAGTATTTTTATCTATTTTAGTACATTTGTGTTCACGATTTGAGACAGTTCAAAGTCCCTTTTGCTTTCTTCGATTGGAATAAAGGACAATTTGAAGGAACCGTTACAAAACACATCAATTGACACAGTAATTAAGATGTAAACTGATTTACAATATATTTTTCTAAATCTGTCGAAATCTGATTTCTCTTCATTACTTTAAGCTTGATCGTCAATCCGCCGAAGCCGGTACTCGCTTCTCTCGCTGTTGGTAACTAGAGGCGGAAACCAAGCAAAAAAATAAACACTCCCGATCTCGTGAATTAATGTTATTTGTTTAAGAGGCAAAACAGATATAAAACCTTTCGTACCGGCGCCATAAAGTCTGCCTTATTCGTTGAAACTGCTTTGCGATTCCGATTTAAAGTGTCCGCTTCAAAGTCTTGGAAGCGTGTGGTTGCAAACTTAAATACTTACAAACTGCGGACATGTCTGTAATTTTTTTTAAGGTTGAGAAAACTTTATTGTTCAATATGATATCTAGCCCAACCTAATGTCTGGCATGGGAGACTTTATCTTTTGAGATTGGTTTAGTAAAATCTTATTTGTATAAAAATGCACTTCTTCTTTTGGATCACATATTGCGGATATTGGAACGAGCGTGATTGTTGTGATCATTGATTTTTTTCGTTCTTTTTTTCCCGATAAATCTTACATCTAATACTCAAAAAATGGATCAAAGAGTTTCAAAAGAGTTTTATTTATAAAATAATGATTGCGCTAGTGCGTATACAAACCTACATTCATGCGAGTATTTTTTGTTTATTTACAATAATTTTAAAACTATTATTTGTAAAATAAACATATATTTATTTATTATCTGTTTGTTTATTACTAGAAGTTAGAGTTTGGATCGGTATTTCACACCGGCTTTGTTTCACGTGAGTGCATCCCAAAAGAACAGAAAAACTATTATAGTTTCCGGCATCGAACGTCCGTTAATAAATTATTCAAATCAACACTAATCTTTACACCTACCAGATTCATTCATAAACCTCCTTTACGTGGAATTGACTGCGTTGGTGTGTTCGAGGAGACGATGCAGAATTTTAAATAAAGCTAGCGGCTTCGTTTGCGATATATAATGGTTATTTGAATATTTATATATAGAATCCGAGGATTTTGAACCTCCGACTATTTGCAAACAAGACAGCGTGACTGCGAAGGTATTTTATTTTGCACGTCGGGAGGAATTTCTCATTTTATTTTGCAATGGAATATAGATGGATAAATAGTTTATTAACTACCTTACAATAACATTGTCGGTAGCAAGTCATACAGAAAAAAAAAGTTAACACATAAATTGTTTATAACATCCCATGGTATATGTCTATAGCACAGCATAAACATTAAATTTCAATCAATACACAGAGCCCCACACAATTGATGCTTTCGTAAAAAAACTTGCTCTAACAATAAACACCTACCCTATAATAGCCCTTCCTTGAAACAAAACTTATAATTTTATGTTTAAAGTTTGTCTTATTTCAAAGTTTAAAAAATGGTGGCAATTTCATGAAGAGTTTTTTTTTTCGATTATGGAAACCTATATCTCGGAAGGGCTAAATTATTTACACCTTGGTTATGTGAATCCGAAACCCATGGCAAACTGAAAGTCTTGGAGTTTATCATTAATAAACAATGGCATATCCGTAGTGAATTTTTTTGCATTCTAAATATTTCAGTGGCATAAGGGGAGATAGTGCACAAGATGGTTGCATAACTTATACGTGAATGAAATAAACCAATGTAAGTTGATTGATTTCAATACTTCAAAACTTACCATTTTAGGACCTTGCCTCAAGAGAAATAGGGTATTATTAAGATTTTTGCATAGTTTTACTCTTCGTTTTTGATTCGTTACCCTTCAAGACTACTTGAATTAATAAACGTTGTCGTCAGCAATCAGTACAATTTTAGTGTCGGTATTTCAAGCAGAGATAGCCACAAATTGTTACAATCGCCCCCTGGTATTGGTTCGTAAACAAGTGCAAACCTCGTCTCGATACGTAATGTGGTTTTGGAGTCTAAGAGACTTTCGCATTTTGGGGATGGCTCCATAACCTTTGTTTTTGCGAAAATTTTGTTCTTGAGTAGATGCATATTTTTTCTTTTCTTTCTTTCTATTAAACAACATAGGTATATAGAAACACTCAATACCAATATTTGTGAGGTATTTGTGTAATATAAATTGGGGGGTTTGCTTATTTGCTATTCCCCTAAAATTTCATTATCATTTGGTGTGTCAAAACTAAGACATAGCCTCCTATTTCAGAGATAAGATATTCGACAATATATAACATTTGCTTGTAGATTTGGCTTTACATATAGAATTTGCTTAATCGTCATGATGGTGGGGATGCAACTGTTTCACTATTGGTCTAGTAGCGGTAAGTTCCATTTTATCTAGTCTTGTCTTGGATATATGATTTATAACTGAAGTAGCAGTAGCTATAAAAAAGCTGCGAACGAATATATATTTTTTTGTTAATTTTTTTGACTTGGTTTAAGAATTTCAAATTGTTTATATATACTCAAAATAGACCAATATTCATACAATTTCTCACACATAGATGATAATAATTAGTGTCGGACCAAAAATGTCTTCCCATGTAATTGGTGTAATTAGAACTCAATGTAAACTAATTCCTCAGAGTAGTTGCAAAGTTAGATACTTACGATTATACAGTATGCAATATAGCAGACCGTATTTGTATATTTTGTGTTTCAATTTCCTTACTACCATCCTTGACACTGTTTGATTTGAGCAGACAAAAACGTTAATAATATTATAGTCATGTAATTACCATTTGACGTTATTCTGATTTCCGTTTGGAAAGAATCACAAGTCAATAAGTGATCACTGTTGCAAATTACCGAAAGAAATTTGCAATTTAGACATTAAATAACCTTTGGGCGATGAGTTATTCGAAGTATACTCCATTTTGTCGCCAATCCTATCTAACTGTAATTCGTAAAATGTTTTATATGCCGTGCAAAAACCTGAAAGGCGAAACTCTATCCTATTTGGAAACACATTTGCTTCTTCGATTATTACGCTTATACTTTTTTCGGAAAAATTAATCATCACGTGGTACAACTCGGTGCCCAATGCCAAATAGTATTCGTATTTGTCAAAGTTGTCACATTCGATGATTTTGTTCGAAATCAATTTGGGAGTACGGCAATGCCAGTGAGTTACCAAGTCGGTGGTGGAGTAAACGACGACGTCATATTTTTGTAGAGGGCACTTGTAAGGTCTGCGACTACACTTGCTTTTGTGTTCCATAAAATACAACGTTTTCTGTGAGACGTTCCGCCTAACTCTTACCAGGCAAATGTTGGTGTCGACAACCACTAGGAAAGTGTTGGGCTCGTTGTAGTTGATTTGCAATGTTTTGGTAACTACACGGCCTGGATGAATCCTTTTGCAGTGTTCTACAATCTGGCACCAGTTTCCCTGAAAATCACAGAAGCAACATTTGTTGTTGCGAAAAACGCACGTTTTCTCGTGAGAAACGACTTCGTGAATTTCCAACTTTGCTGTACAGCCGCTGAATCTGTTGACGCAATCGAAGGCGCAATATTTGGCAATGCGATTGTAGATAGACCACGCTGAGTCATTTGGCAAGACGTCTAAACATCGGCCGCAGAACTTCATTCCCGATTTGGTAACCTTTATGGGAAGAACGGAAAGGTATTGGAAACAGATGTCACACGTTAGATGTTGCAGCATTGCTTTATGGATCGGTGCCACCATTGTTCTGCAACTAGGAAACATAGCTTAATAACGAGTGAGATTACCAACCAAAACTTTAAAATTAAAGTTTTAGTTTTTTGCTGACTTTAGTGTTAACCTAGAAAAAACTTGAATCAGGGTTATTCTCCTGGGTCGGTTGTTTATAAAACAAACTTGCTGACGTTTTGCCAATCACCCTGTTGGCTTCTTCACAGCCTAACTGTTTAACAGTTAGGCTCTGAAAAATCCAACAGGGTGACTGGCAAAACGTCAGCGAGTTCGATTTATAAACTATCGACGCAGAAATAATCCAGGAGATTTGTTAATAGTATTACAGTAGTCTGCGGAAGTTTCGTTGAAAATTTAAGGTTATTACTAACTAGCGTTGGGGCTGGTCAATAATATGTATTTGATAATAAATAATTATGCTTTTATGATGTCCCATTTACCTATAACTCCCTTCAAGGAATACCCGCATACGATTCTTAGCAATTCGGGGAATCCCAATAATAATATCGACTCCATTTGGTTCATAGAATGACGCGACGGCGACGTAACAGGCAATATAAATAGCATTGTATTTTTAAAATTCAATTGACAAAAATTTGACCAGGTCAACGTTACGATTATTATGGAATATCACCTTTTCTGAGAGCCAGCAGAACCAGCATTGTATTTTTATATTTACAAGATGTTTGCATTTTTGTTTATATTGGCTATTTTTTTCTGTTTGTGTCTAGCATATCTATCGATTTGTCCTACTGAGAGCTTTTTTTTTGGATTTGGGGTTCATTTGCTTATAGAATGGCTACTGCAGCGGTGTATATTGTTGTTTTGAAACTAAATAGGGGCAGGATGGTCAATAAGTAACTAAACAAAAATTAATTTAATAATCCAGTCATTTCGAAACATTAGCAATAAAAATAAAAATAAATAATAAAAAAAATCCTATACCGTCATTAGGTTGGTTTTATTGACTTTGACTGTAATTTTCGAAACTAGTCCTTGACAGTTTTATTCCACTTATCTTGGTCGTTTTTTTATTGTTATTTTGGTTTCCATTCAACGTTGTACTGAGTGTAAAATATATAATGGTATATGGTAGAAAAAAAAAACACAAACTAAAAGTAGAGTCCATTATATGCAAAATTCAGGTATTATCATTTTGTCACCAGAGTTTACAGTGTACTATCAAACATCCAAATATTTGTTGCGCGTTAAATTTCTAAAAAAGTAGTCCAATAATACCCAAGTTAGGAGTGTGTATCTTTAATGGCTATCAAAATATTTGAATACAACAAAGACAAAGAGAAATGGAGAATTTGGAATGCACTGCACATTTGAATAAAATCCAAAAATTTTTATAGCTGTCAAATAATTTCTATCATTTAATACAAATTTAAAATAATCACTCGATTTGAAAATTGAAACATTTGTTCGGTCATCTGAAATCGGGTATTTGAATTTTTAATTAAATAGCCTATATCTATATTTCAAGACTGTCTGTTTAGTGTTTACGGTTCAATCAAATAAAAAATAACTCTTAAATATTGTTATATTTACCTGCTGTAATATTAAACAATTGTAATTAACATAATCGATGACCTATTCAAAACTAAAACTCAAAAGTTTTGTTGCTGCGCGTAATTGAATTTTCACCACGCAGCATCACATAGACACATAACTTATACCGCATTTTCATTGGTTAACACAACGCTGACGTCACCGTTCGCCCAATATTGTTTGCGATTGTGCCGGATTCGGCAGTAATTTCTCGGGATTTCCACAGTGATTTCCAATATTATGTTTTTGAAGTTAATCTTATCGCTATTTTTACAAAATTTCTGATAAGTGATGATATTTGTGCAAAAACTGACTTACGGTTCGGTTGAGAGAAATATTTTCCCATTCCCTGATGCCAGGAATGTAAAAAGTGTCGATTTAAGACGCCAGCTGGGTTATTTTAGTATTTTATGTTAATACTAATGCGATTTTATCATACCTAAATAAACATAATATATTTAATCTTTATATTTTTAAAACCGCAAAAAAAGTCCCGCCCTGATGGTCTTATTTCGATAATTGCCGTCAAATGTCAAGGCGATATACTTCGAGACAGATCATACCTGATTCTACAACTAATTTCCGTAATCTGCAACGCACTAACCTCTATAACAGATTCCCGAACACTGCCGCAATCATTCGGAACAGCAATGTCACAAATTCATACCGGTACCGATAACGATAATTCGCGGAATTGCGTTTTTCTACTCCCGTCTGTAAAATACCTAATTACCCACCGATGTGAGTGCGGGTAGCAATGAACGAATGTTCAAAGTTCAAATGGCCGAAAATCCCGAACGGCGGTACCGGTAACTCCTAATAAGGTGTATAGGTAGAAGTTACCTTTGTGGTAAAAATAAAAAATATTATTCTAAGCGTCTACTTAGACAAGGCACTGTGGATTGTATGTCAAATACAAGGAAAGGTGGATGGAAAAAAATTAAAAATTATTATACTATTTTTTGGGAATAATTATTAATGTGGTTGTGCTTAAAATTTTTGTTTCATTTCAGCCATTTGAACAGTTTTACATCATAAAAGAGGACAATCAGTACAAATATTTTCTGCTATACCAATGCAATAACAAAAGATTTGGTGGGGCCATTGGGGACATTTCTGGGCCGCTCTGGGGCCGTGAGTCCACGATGCTGTTGAAGTATTTTTGTATCACCATAAGTACGTTTTTATGTGATTCTCATGTGGCTATGGGAAATGCCTCACCTTATTTGTAAAGTAGGCTAGGGGTAGGGGCCCATAAATGTGTGTTATCCCAAGGCTCACTCGCAACTGGCTAGGACAAATTGCACAGCGAATTCACTCAGTCAGTCGTTTATTAAAAACTCGCTCCGCTCGTGTCAAATAAACTCGCGAGTCAAATGCCGTTTACCGCACTTGTTGCATAATATACTATTTTAGTAGACTGGGAAATTTTAACTGTGGTCGCCAAATGACATCCAGCTCCTTCCTGCCAAGCTCCAGAGCTTTCTCTTAACAAGGTAACAATTGAAAAGATCATACTTTCATAATTTTATTAGATTATTATAATTAAAGCGGATGCTGAAGACGGGCGAAATAACTGGCAACCAATTAAAATTAAATAAAACAGGGGTTAAAGTTCATTCTGTCTGTCTAGGTGAGAAGCTTTCTTCGAAATGACTGTGTTCAGTGTTGATATGCAAAAATTAGGAAATTTAGAAAATTCGATATTTCAATAAGGGTAAGATATAGGTATAGGGAACCCTGAACAAAATCTAGAGTCGAAGCTAAAAATGAATCTACAGAGGGCTCGATTTAAACTAAACAAGATGTTGCCACGTTTATAAAAAAGTGTAATTCCTGGGTAATTGGCATGGTAAAGGCATTGTATAAAATATATCAAATTTTTTAGAGATTTGTTTAAAATACCGATTTGATAATAGGCAGTTCAAGAAATATGCAAATAATATATGTTGTGTATGTCTTCAAAAAAGTGCTAGAACTCGGAGTTGTAACGTGGGTGAGCAAAACTATTCATTCCAGCTGTGCTGTAGTGGACAAGTCAAAGGGTGTCGAAGGTTATGTGATTTTATGTTTTAAAAATATACTCATAGCATAAAATTGATAGTTTGCAAAAAAAACTAAAACAGCACACAGAAAAAATTTGTTCCAGTGCCTGTTGCTACATCAGTCATATGCAACTTTGTAATTGGGTCTAATAAATAACTAAATAAAGAATATTTCATACATTTCCTAGTCATTCTGTATAGTACCTAGGTTTTATACCCAATATCTTGATTCCATATTTTACCAGAATATTAATAATAAATTCATGTAAAATGCCTAGCGACTTTCACTTTGTGGTACATATTATCTAAATCTTTTTTTTTTTTCATTTTCGTGGCAATGTAAATTTTGTATTTATTAAATTTCAAAGGGGATTGTTGGGTGAAGAAATAAAGGTACCTTAATAAATGACATCAGTTAAAGTGGCCCATAGACAATAGATTAGGGCCAGAACTATCACAATCGTGTCACGTGGATCAGACAACCCAAAATGAGGGCTGCTTTTAAATGCCGACTGCGTGCGTCGCCTACTACCGCTTTCAAAAGGAAACATCCGGTCGCAAACGTGTGTTGGGATTCCGTCTCGAGAGTCACATTTCGATCCGCATCGCGTTGACACACTCCTCTTTGTTTAAACACGTTGGATCGATATGAAAAAAATGGCGCGAGCATCTCAAGCAATCTTACTCTAGCAAAATGAGCTAATCTTGCCAGGCATTGAAAAGCTTAGCCTCGCTTTTCTTGTTTTGCTTTGGTTATTTGGTATAATGTCTAAGTAATCGTAAAGTATGGTTAATACAGAAAGGCCTGAAATATATAAATGATGAACTAACTGAACTGGGCATTGTGGTAGGGCATTGAAGCAAAGGATAAAAAAGTATTCTACCAAAATGGATACTGAATAAGAAGAGAAAGACGAAGAGACGTACAAATAATCTTTGTAGTTTTTCATGAGTCTTATGATAATGTGTAATAGAATAAGCTAACTGAAAGAAACCCTTCTCAGTCAAGTCTACACACACAAGATGAAATATCGTTCGCTTAAAGTAGAAAGCCACCAGACCCGAAGAATTTCCAGTGATTAAAGGACTGAGACAAGATTGCTCGGTGGCTTCTCTAATTTTCAAAATCTACTTAAAGAATGCATTAGAAGGACCCAAGGAATGGGTTCATCAACAGCAGCACTCGCTTGTTTTGCTACGATCAAGTTTTGATGACGGGAGACAGCGACGATGTCGGCTATATGCTCTCAACTCAAAGACTTAGTCATGAATGTGTCGTGAAGAAACCATAACCATTTTAAATATTTTGGACTGACTTTCCTCAAAAACGGAAAAAGCCATGATAACTCTAATGGATTCTGGATACCATCGAAACTAAAATGCTAACTTGATCTTCGGAAGGTGGGACGGAATAGACGGAAAAATAAAACCTGGAATTGGGTCCTTCAGCAAGAAAGCAAAGAGGAAGGCCACCAAGAAGCTGGAAAGATGAAGTACAGGGGATTATTGGAACTGTCATTCGCGACGGTTCCATATACCATATACTTTCCTAATCTAAGACATGATTTGTGTCACAAACACTACCTCTGTAATTGAACAGATAAACATTTCAAATATTTGGTAACAACCGAACAATCTCCTGTCCGCACTCCTACTAATTCTAAGAACGACGAAGGATTCATTAATTTTGCTAAGATCAAAAAAATAAAGAGTTTACTACCATGTTTGAATTCATAGAATTCTGAAATCTGGAGGTAGCTTATCAATGCCACATTTATTACGTCTGTGCCAAATAGCAGTCCATGAAACAACTTTTAAATTTATTAACCTGTTGCTGTGTTCTGAAACTAACCAAAAGTGGTCGTAGAATCTAATAAATTATTTTTGTCGGACTTTGTCAAAGACTCGGTATAATGTTTTTGTGCATTTGAGCTATTTTTTCAAAGCGTCTATAGAAATTTATTTGGTTTGTAGCAGCAATTTACTCGTAATAAAACAAATTGCGGGTTCCCTCTTATCCCTACTGGCAACATGGACGCCCTACATTCATTTTGTTTCTATTAATAAAAGCCAATAAACAGGAAATACCTGTGAGAACTGTTTCACAATCGCATTTCGCTTCTCCTTCTCAGTATAAATAAACGGATAATCTATAAATATAATCGGAATACTTTTGATTAGGTCGCAGAAAATTGGCCGTGTAGGAAATGATTTAATGCAAAGTGCCTGGGTCATATTTGCTCCCCAAATTAAAAATGTTTAACTTATTTTAAGTTTGCCTAAAAGATGTAGTTGTCATATATACGAACTCATCTCACTATGGTAATTTAAAGGTGGACATCTGTTTTTTTTTTTTTTTATGTCTCCCTTAAATAATGCGCTTTAGCCAATGAAGCTATGTAAGGCTTTAGCTAGAACGGCATAACAGAGCCATAATCATTGTCAAACCTAAAAAAGTGTTTATTTATATTTTAAGCGTAACTAACGCAACAAGCTGTGTAAATTTCCCTTTAGGTTTCCTTTACAAAAAGTTCTCAGAGTGTGAAAACTTATTGGTGGCAAATAAAATATTGGGTTGTTCGGAAAGTCATTTCGTTTTTTTTGGGGAACATGAAAGACAGTTTTCGTATAATGAATAAATATTTTATTAAATTATATATTGGCCATTCTGGTCCAACACCTTTTGCCATTTTTCTGGCAGTAACATAATTCCCCTCTCATAAAAGTTTTGGTCCTTGCTGGCAAAAAACTGGTTCAGGTGGTTTTTGACATCTTCATTTGAGATAAAGGTTTTGCCATCCAAAAAATTTTGCAGGGACCGGAACAAATAGTAGTCGGAAGGCGCCAGATCTGGAGAATATGGTGGATGTTGCAGTACGTCCCATTCAAGCTGTAAAAGTTTTTGGCGAGTGACCAAACTTGTGTGAGGTCTCGCATTATCCTGGTGGAACACTACACCCTTCCTGTTGATTAATTCGGGCTTCTTCTCTTTAAGTGAATCATTCAATTTGTCCAGTTGATGACAATAGACTTCTGAATTAATCGTTGTATTGTCCGGCAAAAGCTCAAAAAAAAAAACGATTCCTTTGACATCCCACCAAACGGAGAGCAGCACCTTTTTTTGGTGAATGTTGGCTTTTGACACGCTTTGAGCCGGTTCATCTTTTCTGCTCCATGACCTCTTGCGTTTAACATTGTTGTATACAACCCATTTTTCGTCCCCAGTAATAATCCGCTTCAAAAATGGATCATTTTCTTGACGTTTGAGGAGCGAATCACACACGTCAACGCGACGACACAAATTTCGCTCCGTAAGGACATGGGGCACCCACACATCGAGCTTCGAGGTTAAGCCCATGCCTTTCAAATGGCCATAAACAGTCGAATTCGACAAATTTAATCTCTCACCGATCTCTCGTGTGGTTATTCGCCGATTTGCATCAACTAATGCCTTTATCGCATCTTTGTCAGCTTCGACCGGCCTTCCAGACCGTGGTGCATCTTCGACATCAAAATTGCCGGATCGAAATTTTGCAAACCAGTTCTGGCACTGGCGTACTGTTAACAC